TTCTTTCTTTCTTTCTTTCTTTCTTTCTTTCTTTCTTTCTTTCTTTCTTTCTTTCTTTCTTTCTTTCTTTTCTTTTCTTTTCTTTTCTTTTCTTTTCTTTTCTTTCTGGAGGGAAGCCGTTCTGCTGGTTGATTGTTCTCACCATCAGGAAATTTCTCCTTAGTTCTAGGTTGCTTCTCTCCTCGGTTAGGAGATGGCGCTCAACAAATGGAAACCCAATTCCGCCGCCCATGTACACACACACACACACACACACACACACACACACACGGGATACGGGGAAAAAAAGGATGGGAAAATATCCCAATCGGGAGGCTCTTACTCCTTGTTGCCCCGGCCAGCTCCATTTATTTACAGCAGTTTGTGGAGGGGCTAAATTACACTAAACAAAGAGCATAAAATAGCTTGGCTAATTAGCAGAAGTGAGAAGCTCTTGTGAACCCGGCTCTGAAGCAGGAGGAGGAGGAGTGGATTTTCCCAGGTTGGGAAAGTTCCCCTTTTAAATGAGATTATACTTTTAAATTACCCCTAATCAGAGCAAGGTGACTAACACGCTGCCTGCCTGCTGGAAAGACAAATCGCCTGTGTTGACTCCCACTTGGAAGAGTCTGGCTGAGTACCTTCTTTCCGTCTCGCTCTCTTTCTTCCTCTCTCTCCCACTCTCTCTCTCCCTCTCTCTCCCACTCTCTCTCTCCACACCTCTCTCTCCCTCTCTCTGTCTCTCTCCTCTCCCCTCTTCCTTCCTCTCTGTCTCTCTGTCTCTTCCCCCTTGAGACTTCTGCTGAAATTACTTGGGCTTCCAGTGAATTATTCAGATGGAAGAGAAAGCGAAGATACAGGGCTGGGCCTGGTGGTGTTTCTCTTATACAATATTTAACTTTTCCGAAACTAAACTATGCTGGGCTTTGGCGGGGTGTGTGTGTGTGTGTGTGTGTGTGCCATCCAGTTTCCTGCTCCCTTAACAACTTGGGGTGGAAATTCCAAAATGGATAGAAAAGAAGATTTGTACTTCAGGATTAAAATGTGCAGTCCTCTGTGCTCTCTGAGCTGGGTTGTTGTTGTTGTTGTTGTTGTTTTGCAGACGTTTCATGACCCAACTAGAGAACCTCATCAGACCTAGGAGAGAATGGGGTTTGCGAAGTGGAGGAGGAGAAAGACCGTGGGGTCTCTGGTGCTCTCTGAGCTTGATGGTTTTCTTGCAGATGTTTCATTGCCGGGGGGGGGGGGGGTAGACTAGATGACCTATAAGGTCCCTTCCAATTCTGCTATTTTATATCTGGTATTAAGATTTCACCCTAGAAAGGAGAACCTGGGCTCTCTAATGTCCTTGGCCTTCCCTTGGCGACTTGCATGCAGCAACCCTTAGAGCACCACATTTTTATTGCTGGACTCCGTTGTCTCCCGGATTCTTCAATGCTCAGGAAAATGCATGTAGATTCAGATCTGGTAGGGAGAGAGAAAAAATAAAATAAAAGTTCAGCCTCCTCCCTGCACAGCTGGGAATCAAAAGCAGGGAGAAAAAGACTCGGATCCAGCTATTTCCATGCAAAGCACCATTGTTCTTTTCTAAAAATACATAGATAGTGGCAACATGTGCACATTCTCACACATATTCCTGCCATTCTTTTCTTTATTAAATCAATCTATTTATTTTACAAGAGAAAAGGCACTTTGTTCTCAAGGAGGTGGGGATAATTTAGTCCTGAAATCACAATGCCACAATTAGTGATGTGACCACCACGCCTTCCCTCGAATTTATCCTTGACCTGAATTGACTGGAACTGGGTATGTCTAGTCTGATGAAAAGAAGGATTAGGGTGACGGGGGAGCAGCCTTCCAATATCTCAGGGGCTGCCCCAGAGAAGAGGAGGGGGTCAAGCTCTTCTCCAAACTGCACCAGAGGGCAGGACGAGAGGCAAAGGATGGAAACTGATCCAGGAGAGAAGCAACCTGGGACTGAGGAGGAATTTCCTGACGGGGAGGACAATCAATCAGTGGAACAGCCTCCCTCCAGAGATTGTGAATGCCCCAACCCTGGAAGTTTTCGAGAAGCGACTGGACAGCCCTTTGTCTGAAATGGTGTAGGGTTTCCTGCCTAAGCAGGGGGGTGGACTAGAAGACCTCCAGGGTCCCTTCCAACTATTCTATTCTATTCTATTCTATTCTATTCTCTCCTCTCCTCTCCTCTCCTCTCCTCTCCTCTCCTCTCCTCAGAATAACAGAATTGGAAAGGACTTTGTAGGTCATCTAGTCCTGCTTAGGCAGGAGATCCTACACACCATTTCAGACAAAGGGCTGTCCAGTCTCTTCTTGAAAGCCTCCAGTGATGAAGCTGCCACAGCTTCTGAAGGCATTTCAGACAGATGATTGTCCAGTCTCTTCTTGAAAGCCTCCAGTGTTGGAGTAACCACAACTCCTGGACTCAAGCCCTTCCGCTGATTAATTGGTCTCATTTGTCAGGAAATTCGTCCCCAGTTCTAGGTTGGTTCTCTCCTTGATTCATTTCCATCCATCGCTTCTTGTCCTGCCTTTAATTTTTGATCTACTTAAGCAACCGGTGAGTCTCCAGATGTTGGGCATTGCTCAGCCAGGAGAGACTAAGAAATTTACCAACATCTGGAAGGCTACATGTTCCCCTCCAGTTGTCTGCACGCTTAATTGCTGGCTGCAGAGCCCCTCCGGTCTGTTCCTCTGCCTTCACTTTGTAGGAGTTTAAGAAGCCTTTTTGAGGAGTGAAATATTAAATGGATGGGGAAGAAGGGAAGGAGTTAGTCAAACGTGAATAAGGGCTTGGAATTTTTCGCAAGGATGGCGTTTCCCCTACTGGGGGTGGGGGCAATGGGGAGGGGGAGGAGGGAGTAAATGGATTTCAGTGCCTTAAACGCGGCCTTGGTGGACTGGCCAGAAAGTATTCAGGTGGGGAAAAAACTGTTCCGTAGCCTCCTTGCTAAAATGCAGAAACGGGGAGGTTTCTGTTTGCCCCGGAGCAGCTCGGTTATGGTATTGTAGGTTCTCTCTGATTGATGGACGACGTGCCATCACTCCTAAATATTAGAATGTGCAGAAATGAACAGGCCAACGCTTGCTATTAAAGGAAAGGAACAAACCGAATGCTTTATGCTATGGGAATTGTTTTATCAATGGCTGGAGAATAAAAATGGAAATTAGAAAATTTAAGAAGATCAGCGAAAAATAGCAAATGTGAATGAGAATTAAATATGCTAAGATTGTTATCGTAGTTAGATACATTATGTGTAGTAGTATGAAGTAAGAATAGAGTAATGATATAAAAGTAACGCATAGGTATTAATTGTAATGGTTATTGCACAAGATATTTGTACCCAGAAGACATGAAAGATGTTTAAACGAAAGATGGAATGTTTGTAGAAAATAAAATTATTTTTTTAAAAAAAGTCACTTTCCCCTCCTGGCAACCGCATGGAGATTGACAGCTGCAGGGCAACAGGTGAGGAATGACTCCTGTCTCCTGGAAACAGCACAGGTGGCCCTCCACTCACAAGGGTTTGTTTAGTGACCGTTGGGAGTTACACTGGCGCCAGGAAAAAAAAGTGACGTACGGCTTTTTTTTCACACTCACGGCCATTGCTGCATTCCCCCCGGTCACGGGATCCAAACTTTTGGCATCTGATTCCCATTTACGATGGTAGCTGTCCCCTTTTGTGACCTCCTGATGAGTAAAGTCAACGGGGAAGCTGGATTCACTTCACAACCGGGTGACTAAGTGAGCAAGTGCAAGGATTCACTCAACCACCGTGGCAAGACAGGTCATCAAGAGGAAGCAAAATTCCCCTAAGCAAGGTCTCCCTTGGCAAGGAAAATGAGGGGGAGGGGCGCGTGTGTGTGTGTCAGCCGTGGTCGTAAGTCGAGGTCTACCTGTTCGGCCTCTCTGGCTATGTGGGCGTTTGGGGTGTTTGCTCACTTTGGCCTCTCCTTCTCTCTCTCCGCTTTCCAGACAAACGATGCTGCAGGGAACATGTGGAATTGGCTTTACTTCATCCCCCTCATCATCATCGGGTCCTTCTTCATGCTCAACCTGGTCCTGGGTGTCTTGTCAGGGTAAGGATGACTTTTCTTTCTCCTCTGCCCTGCCTTGGCCAGTTTGGTGGGTCAGTTCCCACTCCAGAGAGAAGATCCGACCGAAGAGACTCTCCGTAGCTCACGGCTGAACCGAGGGGTCCTTGGGGCTCTCGGAGCTGGGAGGGTTTCTCGCAGGAGCTTCATGACCCAAACTAGGGAACATCATCCGTGCTAGAAGGGAGGAGGAGGAGGAGGAGGACTGTTAGGTCCTTGGGGCTCTCTGAGCTTGGTTGCTTTCTTGCAGGCATTTCATTGTCCAACTAGGTAACCTTATTAGTGCATTATTATTAAGGGACGGACTAGAAGACCTCAATGGCTCCTTCCAATGCTATAATCCAATGGGACAATTCACACACCTACAGGATTCCTTCCTTCCTCTTGATCCCCCCCCCACCAGCTTGAATGAAGTAGCAAATCCTCTGTGCAGATGCCAAAATCACTTCCTTGCCACGGAGGTTAAGTGAATTGCTGGGCTGAGGGTTACACTCGTTGATCTGTTTCCTCTCTGCAGTGAGTTTGCCAAAGAACGAGAGAGAGTTGAAAACCGGCGAGCTTTTCTGAAACTCCGGAGACAGCAGCAGATCGAGAGAGAACTTAACGGCTACCTGGAATGGATCTTTAAAGCAGGTAAGATGGGGAAAGGTCTCCAGCTTGAGCAGGGGGGTGGACTAGAAGACCTCCAAAGTCCCTTTCCACCCTAGGATTCTATGTTCTAATGAAAGAAAGCAATGTAGAGTAGAATGGAATAACAGAGTTGGAAGGGACCTTGGAGGTGTTATGTGTGTGTGTGTGTGTGTGTGTCTATATATATATATATATTTGTGTTTTCAGAGGAGGTGATGTTAGCAGAAGAAGACAAGAATGCTGAAGAGAAATCCCCCTTGGATGGTGAGTCTCCTAGCTATGTATTTCTCTCCTTGTGTGCTGACTCTGTAGCTTTTAATGCAAAAGGCTGGGTAGATCATAGAAAGAGACTAGAAACATATTTCAGACCACAGAGAGCCCAGAATCTGCCTTTCTCACAGATTGGTTCAATATTTTGTTGATTTCCAATATAGAAGAATATTTGTAGCTCAGGATTGAAATGAAGGGTCCGTCCTGCTCTCTGATCTTGGTTGTTTCGTTGCAGACATTTCATTCAACGTCATCACCCATACCAACCCACAACAGGGCAAATATAAACTGAGAGCAAACCAACTCCTTACTAGCATTGATGAAGTTATCTAGTTGGGTAATGAAATGTCTGCAAGAAAATAAGCAAGCTCATAGAATACCAAGGACCCCACAGTGGTCATCTTCCTCCTTCTCCTCCTCCCTTTCCTTCCACAAACCCCACTCCCTCTTAGCACTGATGATGTTACCTAATCGCGTCATGAAACGTCTGCAAGAGAACAAGCAAGCTCAGAGAATGCCAAGAACCCCACATTTTGTTGATTTGTCAGATGGATATTGTGCCTTTAGTTCAGGAACTCAAAATCATGGATATAATGCTCTTTTTTCCCCATGACAACAAAATCCCATGGAGATACGTTGGGCTGAGAGAGAAAATGGCTTCCCCCAAAGTCACCAAGCAAGCTTTGTTCTCATCATACTGGTTGCAGAGTTAAGGCTGACATCTCATCTACTTTTATTTGGAGTGGGAAGATTGATGTATGACACTAGCTATTTCGGGTTGGTTTTTTTAAAGGGCCCCTCCTCATTAGCTAAATAATTGATCCGTGAGAATTGGAGGCACAAAACTCCTGAGAATTGAAACTGGGACAGCGTTTTTGATACGCAGAATTGCTTTATGCCAAATTATGTTCAAACTGTGGAAGTTAACTCACGGCCATCGTCGGATCACAGTCCGTTGGAAAGAGGCAACGTTATGGTTTGAACAGCGCAAGGGGGAAATCCCCCCCCCCGCTTGATTCTGATGCCAGGCCACGGTGGGGGGGACACAGTTCTGGTTTGCAACCGGGCAAACACCCATCCCTGGTCCCTGTTTTGATTGCTCTGAAGATGTTCAAAGATGGTTGGGGGAAGCTGTGCTTAGCTGGAAGGCTAAATCAATAATGGTTCTTGCCAGAAAAGGATGGAGAAAAGGAACTGTCAAGGGGCTGGTAGGCCACCAGGCGGCTGGCCCAGGGCTGCTTTGAAGCCACCCTTTAGATGGCAGGCAATTGGAGTCTCAAAGCTTCGGAGAATGGAAGAAGTTTGGGCCTCTATTGAAAGCTGATGGCCCAGGTGTTGACTGCCTATGTCTCCCCTTTTCTCTCCCCTTTTGGTTTCTAGTGCTGAAAAGAGCGACAATCAAGAAAAGCAAAAACGATCTAATTCACGCTGAAGAAGGAGAAGATCACTTCACAGATGTTTGCTCTGTGGGTAAGCCTAATGAGGGACATTCTTCTTCTTCAGTAGACGGTCTCTCTTCCAAAGCCAAAGGTTCCGGGTCATAAATGAGCAAAGTACACTGTCAACTCAACCCCAGGGGTTGCCCATGTTTAGTTACAGGATGCCGCTTTGGGGAGTGTGCTAAGGAGAACGCAGCTGGATCAGGCTCTGAGTTCATTTGTTTGGGTATTTCTTGTCCCCCATGGACCAACTGAATGCATTTGGGAAGCGGGATGATAACAGCAACCTGGGAGCTCCAGGAATGGAGTGAATGGAGCTGGGAGAGAGAGAGAGAGAGAGAGAGAGAGAGAGAGAGACTGGCCTGTCTGTCAGCCCTCAGACGGAGAGTCAACAGGCCCCAAGTCTGGAGGTGGCTGATGAAGAAGAAGAAGAGGAAGAGCAGCTGGGTCCAGTGCCTGACATGCAGATGCGCAGAAGGCAGAGGAGAGGAGAGCAGTGGAAATCTGTGGGCCGGTCCTTGGGAAGGAAGAGCCACCGCTGCTAGGGAGGCTCTGGGGATAAAAGGCAGGGGGTGGAGACGCATAGATGTGGCAGACAACTATTCATCTTCCAGCCGGATGGACTGGTCAGCCTGCAGTAAGAGAGAAACTTTTTGCCGGGGCTGCCGGGGCTCCAAATAAAGGAATCTTTGAGTTCACTTCAGAGGGTTGGTACTGTTTGGGGAGCTGGGTCAGAACACGGATTGGACAGGGAAACCTTTATCTTTTTTGCTTATGATCCGTGAGCACTTGATTCTCCTGGATCCAGTCGGCTCCCCTTTTCAAACCATTTGAACTGGTTGCCATCAGCAGGTCTGTTAGCAACAGTCCTCAGGATCGTGGTCTAGAGTTGTAGGATTTAAAAAGATCTTAAGATGATCCTGTTCTCACTACAAGCAGAACATCTTTGTTAGAGAACCGCCCAGCGTCTGCTGAAGACCCACAAGCCAAAGGGAGCCCATGAATCTCAGCTCCACGTCCGTATTGCGGTCAGGAAGGTGACTCAGATTTGGTCTTACGTAAAATTGAAGTTGAACCTTCCCTGTTGGAAGAACTTCACTTCGTCTGGATTCCCTCCTCGCTTGTAGAATTTCCTCATGCGTGCGCTTCCTCCTTCTGCTTCTCAGAAATGGTTACGCTCTAACGGCTGAAGGTGTCGACTTTATAGCATTTTAATATGGATAATTTCTTGACGTGCTGATGACAGCTTGTGGGAAATTTACTGTATAATTACCCACAGGCCCCAAAAAGTGCTGACCGGCAGGGACCTCTTGCCAACAGTTATGTTTTATGAGTTGTTTTCTAATTCCCTTAAATTGTCCTGCAAAGAACCTCGTAATCACTTTCCAAAGCAACATGTGGTGGCAGCAGATAGAATTTGCTTGATTAAAGAAAAGATCGGTTGGCGACATAATGAGCTTCAAATGCAGGAGAAAAATACACACGGAAGCATCATAAAGATTACGGCTGCCCTGATGCATGTGTTTATGCTATGCAAAGGAACCAGACCCATTACAATGGTGACTCCTGCTATTATTTCTATTACTATTATTGATTAGAAGTAAGTCAATTTACAAAAGTGAAATCTTTCATGGACAAACAAAGCCACATCTGGTCAGCTCTTAAATTGCAATACCTTAACAAAGACCCCCATAGATTTGGCTATCCTCCCAGAGAATACAACAACCTTAAAAAAAAGAAAGCACAAGCTATTGTAGGATCCCAGTTCCGTAACCACGGTGCAGAAAATAAAATTATTTGTTGCATGATACCCAAGAAGCTCTAGGCAGAAAGTCCAGAATTACCTAAAGATAGGTTGGCAAACTGCCAGCCAGGCAAGAAGGAGTGATCAAACAGGGATCTGGCCTTGAGTCCTTGTGCAGCTGCAAGAGACTTGGAACTATCTTTCATGGAACCTTGTCTGTTTGTTCTCAGAGGAAAGAGAGCGGTGTGGGGAGATTCTTGTGTTATAGGCAGGATACAATAAAGTCGTCCGCCTGAACCCTCCCAGTGCAGATCTGGTTGCTCCCATTTATCAAAATAGGGTTCCATGATTTAACTATTTAAAACCATTGTCTAATAGTTTCAGGAGGACAGAGGACCAGCTATTGGTGGGGTACAGTTTGGCCCCTTCTGGTGGGGAACGTGACCTCTTGCGTGATGAATGGCAGCTTGGATATTTTTGATCTTGGGATCCCCCTCCTCCCCCTCCTCCTCCTCTCAGATTGAACTATTTTCTTCTACAACTGCAGGGTCTCCATTTGCCCGGGCCAGCCTCAAGAGTGGCAAGAACGAAAGCTCCTCCTACTTCCGTCGGAAAGAGAAGATGTTCCGCTTCTTCATTCGGCGCATGGTGAAGGCCCAGAGCTTCTACTGGATTGTACTCTGTGTGGTGGCTCTCAACACGATGTGTGTGGCCATTGTGCATTATGATCAACCAGAAGGTCTCACCACTACCCTTTGTAAGTAAGGTCTTCTTCGGTCAATGCTACTTCAATGTTAGGAACACACAAGGTTGGAGATTCTCCATCATCCTGGTCACAGTGGACCTAAAGGTGCTTCTCCAAAACCCAAGTAGACTTTCTTGTTTTTGTCTCTTTTGAAAAGGTTTCACTTCTCATCCAAGAACTGAACGGAAGAAGTTTTTTGGATGAGAAGCGAAAAGGTTTCAGGGGAAAAACCCCCAAGAAAGTCCAGTTGCCTTTTTGGCCACTCCAAGATGCTCAGCCTTTTCTTCTCAAGGCACTGGGAGTTGCAATGACCCCCACCCATCACCGTGACTGGATGGCTTGCAGGCGCTCAATAAATACCCTCAGGTATTGCTGCACACACTGAGCGAAGTGGAAAAAAAGAATTTCCGTGTTACCAGAGACATTTGAAGCTTAACAAGCAAAATGTAAGCTTGACCTCTTTTGGGGGATGATTTGGAACGAAATCAGAGGTTGGTGGGTTTTTTTTCTCCTGAGGTTTGCAAGCCGTTTGTTCTTTTCCCACAAAGGGATATAATAAGGTGATGGGAGTACAGAGAATTGGATATTTTTTTTCTGTTTTAAAACTTTTCCTCCATGTAAGTTAGGGCTAAATGGCTAAAAAGAGCATTTGTCTTTCATTCCCCCTCCCTGTTTCTTCTTTTTATTATTCTTTTAAAAAAGTAAAATAAAATATAAAACCAAGGGAACGAGAGTTCACTTTGCCAGAAATGATTTCTTTCTTTCTTTTCTTTTTTTAAATTTTCCTCCCAAAAGAAGAGAACTTATGAACAGACATTCATCTCCCAGCTGGTGTCAGAAAGAATGTTCTTGTTAATTACCAATTGAGTGAAAAATTATACAGGCTACATAGAGCGAAGGAAAAAAAGAAAGAAAGAAAGAAAAAGCAGAGCCCATTTTAATCACACACACACACACACACACACACAAATGGGATAAAAGCAGAGAGATATTTCCACAGCGTGGAAGCTTTGGAAGGGAAGACGTATTGTGAATAGCTGACAGGTGCATCGTCTGAGGAGGATGGTTGAACAAGATGGATCTCTGGAACAAGAAAAGCGAGGATTGATGACTTAAAAAAAACACCAAGCAAACACTTGTAGGGAAAACAAAGCATGGAGCATCTTCTAAAGCAGGTCGAGCAAATAGCCTGGAAGTGGATGACAAGGAATGTAATATGGGCTATAATGTAAGGATGGGAACTGATCAAGGAGAGAAGCAACCTAGAACTGAGGAGAAATTTCCTGATGGTGAGAAGAATTAACCAGTGGAACCACTTGCCTCCAGAAGTTGTGGGGGCCCCAACATTGAAGGTTTCCAAGATGAGATTGGTTGTCATGTCCCCGTCGGAGTCTGAATCGGAGGGGGAAGACGAGCAGCTGACAGAGAGCAGGAGAGGGGCTGCATTGGCTGTGGAGGAAACTGGGGAAGGGCAAAGTCAGGCTGGGCAGAGCAGGGCAGAGGTAGAACAAGGGAGAGGGGGTTCAGAGGAAGACCCCCCCTCCTCATCCTAAGGCATGCAGGGAAGAACGCAGAAGAGAGCAACGTGGGTTGTGTGGCTTACGAGGGAGGAAAGGGCCCCGATTCCCTTCACGAGGCACACCTGGGGATGGAGTTTAAAGGAGAGGCAGTTGGGAGGGGTGTTTCTTGGGAACAAACATTGAACCATCAAGTGTGGAGAGATGTGTCCTGCATTCCTGGCATTCCTCCTGCCTGTGTGAATTATGGCCGTGCTTCTGTGTGCTCATCTTGTCTTGCTGGAATTATTGCCATGATTCTTCACTTCCTGGACTCGTTATCTTGCCCTGCTGGAGTGATTGATTGCAGTCATTCTACTTACAGCATTTGGACTGGAGCCAAAGGCTGCTGAAGGTTTGTGGGACAGCTTTTCTCCAGGCCGGAGAGTAAACGGGACGTTGGGAGCAAAGTTGGAGCAAATAAAGGGACTCATCCCTGTTCTCTGACTGTGTTGCCTTCGTGCCACGCCCCAGGTTGGACAACCATTTGTCTGGAATGGTGGTATAGGGTTTCCTGCTTGAGCAGGGAGGTTGGACTAGATGACCTACAAGGTACCTTCTAATCCTATAAGGTCCTGTAAGAATCCAAATTGCGGCACACTTCAAGCATTTTCTTCGTCGTGCCTTCTGAGGAATGCAAGGTAATGAAGTCCTTGATGAGATGGTGTTTGCCTGCAAAGCTACATCTCTGTGGATATCAGTATGCAGAAGAGGGGAAGTCTTCAAAGCCACCACTCTTCTCTTATGTCTGCTGAATATTTTAGGTGTGAATTCTGGAAGAGGGTGGGGAGCCAAAGAGGAAAATATTAACAGTCCTTCTGCACACTCGATGGTTTCCAGAAAAGTCTGGAGCAGCCAAGAACTGGATAGACTGAATAGCAAAGCCCTTCAGACTTCGAGAAGTTCAACGGAAATGGCATTAATCTATTAGTGATGAGACCATGAGAGAGAAACTGCTAATGATCTTGTTCAGAGGTATTGGGTAGAAAACAGCTCGGGTGTCCTTTTAGCAGCAGTACCGGTTTTAAAAATCAAATTGAATTATTTGTAGCCAGCTCACCTCTTCCCCTTCTTTCATCCCCTTTGCAAAAGAGAAGGCTTCTGTCTAAAGAAGAAAGCGCCAATGTTTACTGGCCAGATGCCCTTCCTATCGCCAAAGCGGAGTTTTGTTCAGCAGATATATTCTCAATGTGCCCAGAGAGAGGAATATCTGCCTCTACCCAGGATCGAACTCACAGCCTCCGGATTGTGAGGCGGGAGCTCCACCTCTAGGCCAACACACCACTCACCTATGATTAATGATCATAACTATGATTTACGATCTATGACCTGACACTTTATTATTTGTATGTACACTGAGAGCATATGCATTGGAGACAAATCCGTTGTGTGTCCAATCATACTTGGCCAATGAAGAATTCTCTTCTCTTCTCTTCTATAAAGAACTCTCTTAAATCCAGGGATGGTCAAATATTATGGAACTGCATTTGCTTTCTGATTAAACGGACAAGGTTAGGTCAGAAGAAATTGTGACAGTGATTCATCAGCTGGAAGGGTGGTGGAAAACAGGAGACCTTGGATAGGAAGATGGATGGATGGATAATTATGAACTCTTCTGCTGTTGGAGAGGTCCCAGTAGTACTGGGGTTTTAACTCAAATGGTGAGATGTGTGGATCGTGGTGAAAAAGCTTTTTTTAAAAAAAAAAAAGAGAGAGAGAGAAGAGTGAAAAAAGGAGCAATAGAAATATGAGATGTTTAAGTTCTAGCAAAACAAGACAATCCAGGGTGGCATAATATTCTGAGAGAGAGCTCAATTTGAGGCTAGAACAATATTTCAATGTTGCTTTAGCAACACGGAGTCTTGGACCAAGTCTGAAATAGTGTTGGAATTCTCTGTGGGCAATCATTTACACTCCTAGTGGGTGACTTTTCGTTTTGTTTAAGAAAGTTTGCTTTTTAAAAAATCTGGGGGAGGATTTCAGAGAAGACCAACGCAGATGACTAGATGAAGGCTAAAACATAGAATGGTTGCAGGAATTGGGCATGTCTAATTTAATGGAAAGAAGGTGATAGCCTTCCAATATTTAAGGGGCTGCCCCAAAGGAGAAGCTACTCTGCAAAACCCCCTGAGGGCAGGACAAGAAACAATGGAGGGAAACCAGTCAAGGAGAGAACCAACCTAGAACTGAGCAGAGATTGCCTGAGAATGAGAACAATTCCTCAATGGGCCAACTTGCCTCCAGCAGTTCTCTCACTGGGGGATTTTAAGAAGAGATTGGATAACCATTTGTCCAAAGTGGTGCGGGGCTTCCTGCTTGAGCGCAGGGTGGGGGTTGGGGGGGGGGTTGGACTAGGTCCCCTCCAATTCTGTTATTCATTGAAACCTTTCAGTTTGACATCTTCTGTATTGGTGGAGAAACCAACACAATTGGATTAAGAAGATAAATGCAGAATAAGAAAGAGAATTGTTTGGTGAGGTTGGGTTTTCTCTCCAGAACGTTGCTTCTGGTGGTCAGGAGACCCTGGTTCTCTGTGAAATATTTACAATTGCTTTCCAATGAATGAGTCCTTCCCCACCAGTTGGGTCTGACCTATGGCTCATTTTCTGCTACTTCCTTCTAGATTTTGCTGAATTTGTCTTCCTGGGTTTGTTCCTCACTGAGATGACTCTGAAGATGTATGGTCTGGGGCCAAGGAACTACTTCCATTCCTCGTTCAATTGCTTTGACTTTGGGGTAAGGAGAGCAGGACGCAAGGCCTCTCTTGCACGATCATGATTTTATGCATGGTGTCCCCATAGGTGAACGGGTAGGAAGGATTGTGTCTAGATGTAGGCTCTAGATCTAGATGGTCTATATCTAGATTGTTTAGATCTAGATATAAATGGCCTAGATCTAGATGGCATACATCTAGATCTAAATGGCATAGATGTAGGTGGCATAAATTTAGCTCTAAATGTTCTAGATCTAGTTATCCTTGAGTGAAAGTCTTCCAGCTAACTTTCTGTCCTTGCTCCAGTGTACTGTCCACTATATTCTTAACGGTTAGCAGAGAGCTCTAATTTCAAGTCAAATCTTGAATCTGCACAGAATGGTGCTCCCAAAAGCTGGCTGTTCGTTGCTGTGCATGTAGGGCACTCAGCCGAAGGTCTGTGCCAGAGAAGGTAGTGCAATATTGTTATAGTCTGTTTTTCTGAAGTGTTCCTCCGCAAAACCCCGGAGGGATTATTCTGACCCTGTAGCTTCCTTGTGTCATATTTGCAAGAATGGAAAAATAGCCTTTGGCAGATGTCCATTTGCTATAGGCATAAGTGACACCAATTAAGCTACTTCCCCGGCAGGTCTCGAAGGAGAAGCCACCATCAGACCCTGAAGCCAGGCTGGATTCATTGTTGGCATCGATGGCTGAAATCAAGCTGTCAGCTCTGACTGCTCACTCAGGACCCAGTTGGCCACAATCAACATTGCAACGGGCTTGTTCTCTCTATGAATCAGCCCTTGAAATAGGCTTGGAGAATTCAGTTGGTGCTAAATCACACATGGTTGGGTGTTGACTTGATTGGCTAGCTCACACCTATAGCTCATGTCCTAAAGGTGCTTTTTCATGAGGCACCTGGCCTTAGTTTTTCCTTGAAGATGTTTCACTTCTCATCCAAGAAGCTCCTACAGTTCTGATTGGGGGAGGAATATGACACACCTGTCTCCTGTATACAACACAGTCCTTCTAGCAATGCCGAGGTTCCCTAGCCATTTGCACTATTCAGGTGACCCTGAGGGCAGAGATAAACCTCCAAGTGGCCTAATGACTCTCAGAAAGAGCACTAACGACCAGAAGACTGCAAGGAATATAAATCCTTCCATCATCCACCATTCAGTCAGAATGGAAGAAGCTTCCTAGATGAGAAGCGAAACGTCTTCAAGGAGAAACAAAATCCAGTTGCCCCTTGAAAAAGCACCTTTGGGACAACCATGACCTGGATGACAATCGGGTCTTCATAGGTAATGAAGAAAGCCACCTGTAGATGATGTGGGTGTATCTGTCAGCTGAAGATGCTGCCCCAAAATTGAAGAGCCAATTCTGAGTTTTCCTGCTCCTCTCACACTCAGATAATGCTTTAAAACGGGAATCTGTCTTCCGCTACTGTTTCCATGGAGATGTATCTGTTTTAAAATAGGAAAAGTGGCCACCCCACATAGGAGCCCCTCGTATAAATGAAACTTTATAGCTTCTTCTTCCCATTTGCAGAAGATCTCAGGTGATCCTCCCACAGGTGCTTTTTTCAAAAGACAAATGGATTTTTCCCCCTTTGGGACTTCAAGAAGTGAAGAAGTTCCTTGGATGAGAAGCGAAACATTTTCAAAGGAGGAGGGGAGAAGCACCAAGAATCTTTTGGAAGAAACCCTGGTGGCAGGATCATTTGAGATCTTCTGCAAATGTGAAATGTGAAAAGCGTCTTTGGAACAACAACCGGGACCTGGACGCTTGAGAATCTCCATAGATGACCTTCTCTCATTAAAAAGGTGGAAGTGAAATCTCCAGTCCTTGAATGACCCTCAGCTCCTGGTGACTTCATGAACACATTTATGGAGCCTTCTAAACAATAATGCACTTGATTTCTCTTCCTGGCCCATAGATTTCCACTGCTCTCCTCTCCTCTGCCTTCTGCGCATCCACACACCAGGTACTGGGCCCAGCTGTTCCTCCTCCTCTTCCTCATCAGCCACCGCCACTCCTGGGGGCTGTTGACCCTCCATCTGAGGGCTGACGGAGGGCCCAGGCTCTGCCTCTGTCTCTCTCTGCCAGCTCCATTCCCTCTCCCCCCTCGGAGCTCTCAGGTTGCCCTGATGCTGACTCCCACATCTCCTCCTCCTCTGGCAGCCAACAGGTCACAACACTATGATAGCTAATAAGATGAGTTAGTTCCCAGTCACAGGCTGTGTCGTATTTCTCTACTAGACTTTTACTCCCTCCCGAGTCTACATCCAGGCCCATAGAGCAGGGATCGGCAACCTTAAACACTCCAAGAGCCATTGAGACCCACAGAAAAGAAAAACCCGGGAGCCACAAAAACCCTTCCCATGCCTGACTATTTCCTGAGTGGCCACAAAACTAGCATCTGTAGTTGAATTCTGTTTTCTTCTGAAACTTTTCTTTGCTTGGATTTAGCCATGGTTGGCCTACTGGGGGTCGAAAAGCTTAATAAATCGTGTGCCGGTGGTGTCGCACATTGTTGGCCGTGACACATATTTTGAGCGACAGGGAGCCACAGCATAGGGATGAAAGAGCCATATGCGGCTGCAGAGCAGCGGGTTGTTGACCGTAGAGGAATCGAGGAGAAACTGGAGTCCTTAGTTGCACATCTCTGTTCTGCGAGACTTAGCAAGTTCAAGACTGGAGCATGACAAATACTAGGATCTTGGCCTCTGCTTCGAATGAAAAAGTGGTCCTTGTCTGAGGTGCTTCTGTAAGATTGATTACATAGACTAGGATGGGGTTACATGCATTCCAGCAAGCGAACTCTTTCCCATCACGATCGATATATCCCTCCCATACATTAAGATGACGGTGCCCTCATTTCCCTCTTTTACTGTATTTCTGCAAACTAGTAAGCCCCTTCTCTATTTTACAAGAGGTTGCAAATGACCGCTTACAATGAGAATGAGAAGAATTCCGGGTACTGACCGACAGAAGTGTGTGCTATTTTTAGGACTGTGTCAGAGGAGCAAGGGGCACAAGCATCCCCCTCCTTCCGTTTTATTCAAGTGTCTGCTGGTTTTTCTTGCTCGACAGACCAGCGTCTCGTAGCTGCCCTGTGATCCTGAGTTAAATTTAAAAAAAAACCAGATTCAAGTTAAGATAATTTGTGTTCACTCCTATAGTTGCAATTCAAGTGTAATATGCTGAATAGCCCAGGTAGTTTTGTAAAAAAAAAAAACCAGGAGTTCCACTCCTTCCTTCCTTCCTTCCTTCCTTCCTTCCTTCCTTCCTTCCTTCCTTCTCTCCTCCTCCTCCTCCTCCTCCTCCTCTTATTCTTCTTCATATTCTTCATATTATTAGTATTATTATATCTTGCCCTATTTATTTTCTGACCATCTGGGCTGAACTGGAAAAGGAAACAAAAAAACCCCAACCCTTTTTTTTTCCAAAGAACAAAATAGCAAAGATATGTCATTGGCTTTAAAAAAAGTGAAGCTGAGTGTAATCTGAAGAGCAAGTTGCCAGCAAAGGAAAGAGGGACAACTCATTTAAACCTGATCTTGTTGGCAGAATGGAAACACTTAGCACACCCAATTTTTAAATACATATTCAGTTTTTATGTGCACTTAGACTGTCTTTTGTACTCTGTGCCTAGAAATACGATGTAGGACGATGAACTGGCGTTGAATAAATGGGTGTATTACATAGTTGTGTCAGAGGATTAAATTTCCGCTGGGAAGCCCAACAAAAAATTTTGCCTCTGCATAATGTGTAAAACAAGCTGTCTGTGGACTAGAATTGAGGTTCTCAGGCTTCCAGGTCATGGCTGTCCCCAAGGTACTTTTTTTTTTTCAAGAGGCAACCGGGCTTTTCCCTTGGAGATGTTTCACTTCTCATCCAAGAAGCTTCTTCAGTTCTGACTGAACAGTGGTGGAGGATGGAAGGATTTATATTCCTTGCAGTCCTCTGATCATTTGCACTCTTTCTGAGAGTCAATGAGACTACTTGGGGATTTATTCACCTGAGAAATGCAACATGGATGCAGGACGACTGCCTTGGAACTGTGGAAAGGGCTGGGTTGTAAGCAGGAGACAGGTAGTGCCGCCTCCTTTCCCCTCTGCTGAGGGAGGGCTGTCCACTCTTAATTTCCTTTTTCTTGTCTTGAACCCATCACCTTTTGCTCTTGTGCAGGTGATTGTCGGAAGCATCTTTGAAGTCATCTGGGCTGTGGTGAAACCTGGGACTTCTTTTGGCATTAGTGTGCTCAGAGCCCTCCGACTGTTGAGGATCTTCAAAGTCACCAAGTAGGTTTCAGGCGAATTTGCTTCGGTTTAAAAATGTGCCCCTTGGTTTGCTGATCCTGTTGCCTGTCCGCCCCATTTTCAGCTGATTAGTGGGCAACGATTTACATAGGAGCCAGCCGTGTGCAGCCGCTGCCAGAAAAGCCAACGCAGTTCTAGGCTGCATCATCAGAGGGAGAGAATCAAGATCACGTGAAGTGTTCATGCCCCTTTATAAGGCCTTGGGGAGGCCACACTTGGAGTATTGTGTCCAGTTTGGGTCGCCAGGATGTAAAAAAGACGCTGAGACTCTAGAAAAGAGTGCAGAGAAGAGCAACGAAGATGATTAGGGGACTGGAGGTGCCTAAAGTCTTAACTCTTCTATGGTTGGTTGGTTGTAAATGGGGGGAGGCCCTTAGAGGAACAGAAAGAGGTTTAGTAACAATTGCACAAAATGGAGGTCAACCGCCCTCCAGAACTTAGAATGTCTCATCTATGTCTCAGATGTAGGATTCTTAATTGAACCCTTTACCTTCCCTGTGGTCCCCCCACACACATTTTCTGGAGAGTTTCATTCATACAATATCCAAGCCTGGGGTCCTAAGGGGCCATCTGAACTTGCTCATTGAAGCCTCAGGAAAAGAGACCGTTTGATTTGCTCTCTTTCAAAGTTAGCTCTTCATCGAGGCCCATAGGGTTGTCTGAATCCAAAACAGAGTTAAGGTTGAGGTTACCTCTCTCTTCCCACCTCCAGCAGAGAGAGGGAATCAAGAGTTTCTCTTTGTAAAGTGAGAGGAAAACTGAGGGGAGAGGGAAGATAGCTTTTGCTGACCAACTAACCATCAACGAGTTGCTATCGTAATCATTGCAAGTTGGTTTATTTTAACATCCTAGGTACTGGAACTCTTTGAGGAACTTGGTGGTCTCCTTACTGAATTCGATGAAATCCATCATTAGCCTGCTGTTCCTCCTCTTCCTCTTCATTGTCGTGTTTGCCTTGCTGGGGATGCAGCTTTTTGGTGGGCAGTAAGTTGGATCCAAAAGTCTCTCTGTTGGATAAACCGATCGCTGGGGAGCCCGCATTTCACCAACTATGGAATGCTTCCATTTTCTTTGTGTTTTCTGGCACTTGGGGCGGGCCCTCAAAGGTCTATGTTCCGGGGCGACCTACTTATTAATACTCAGCCTCTTCCTAGGTTTCACTTCAATGATGAAACACCAACTACCAACTTTGATACCTTTCCCACTGCCATTCTCACTGTATTTCAGGTAAGCTTCTTCTTCTTCCTCCTCTTTCTCTTCCTCTTCCTCTTCTTCTCCTCCTCCTCCTCCTTATTTTCCTTCTTCTCCTTCTTGTCTATCTCCTCCTCTTCCTCTCCTCCTCCTCCTCCTTAAATATCTTCTCCTCTTCCTCTCCTCCTCCTCCTCCTCTTCCTTCTCTGTTTGGGGAAATATGTGGACAGTCAGACAGTTAGCAATCTTAGCTGGACACAAGAAAGAAGGTCACACACGATCCAGAACTTACAACTCTTATAAGGAACTCCTTAGGAAGCGCATAGATTCCCTCTGGCAGAGTATCACAGCCTGTAGCTTTCTCATTTTCAGTGCCACGAAAAACATTCCTCTCCCTCATCCTCTCTGCTATGGCGCATTCTTAGCAGAGGCAATAGCCTGTTTTCCATTTTTGCTTGAAGAAAAAAAAAGCTTGAATGAGCATTTTTGCTCATTAAATTAATGAGAGTAATAGTTTGAGAAGGGGGGGGGGTGAGAGGTCATGTTGAAAAATATCACCTTCCACTCTTGTATCCACATAGGATGCTAACTGGGGCTGTGAATCTTAACCAGGAGAAGAACTCAGAGCCTTGAGCTAAACAAGGAGAAGAAAGTAGAAATTCTGCTACTTTTGCTAAGTGTTTACCAGAAAAAGGGTCCATGTAAGGGGTCACTTAGCTACTTAGCAGTGATTGGGGTTAAAAAAAAGGTGATATATGGGGTCTTTGATGTTCTCTGAGCTTCGTAGTTTTCTTGTGGGCATTTCATTATCCAACTAGGTAATGTCATTGATACACTGATGATGTTACCTAGTTGGGTTGTGAAACATCTGCAAGAAAACCACCAAGCTCAGAAACCACCAAGGACCCCATGGTTCAGCCCTGAGCCAACAAATTATCTTTTCTCAAAATTATACCTATATCATAGAAGTTGTGGGAGCTTCATCACTGGAAGCTTTCAAGAAGAGACTGGACTGTCATTTGTCAGAAATGGTGTAGGGGTGGGGTCTTCAAACTTGACAGCTTTAAGACTTGTGGGCTTCACCTCCCAGAATTCCTCCTCCAGTCATGTTAGCTCAGGGATTCTGGGAGGTGAAGTCCACAAGTCTTAAAGCTGTCAAGTTTGAAGACCCCACCCCTACACCATTTCTGACAAATGACAGTCCAGTCTCTTCTTGAAAGCTTCAAGCTCCCTCCAACTCCATTATTCTGACTCTGTCCAATGAGGTCAGGAAGTGGTGATCCCACCGCATTCTTCCCGAATGTTCTCGGAGAAAAGAGGCTTATACGTTTCTTTCACAGCCCCTTTTTCTCTTCTCAATGTTCAATGACTTTCCAGATCCTGACCGGGGAAGACTGGAATGCCGTGATGTACCAGGGCATCGAATCCCAAGGGGGTGTCCATTCTGGAATGTTCTCTTCTGTCTACTTCATCGTCCTCACCCTCTTCGGGAACTGTATCCTTGCCCTGCGGGAGCCTGGATGTTGCTGCATCGCTTCAGACCTTCGGCAAGGCCTCTCTTTAATGGGCAGCAGGCGGAAGGGAAGTTACCGGGAAGCCATTAGCAAAAGTTATTGATTGGCTCTGAGATGAGATTCTTTCTTTGCTTCTCGGCGGTGGTTGCTCTTTTTTTTTTTTTAAATTAGGCTCTTTAGCTCCTGAAAGCAAATGGGGGTTTTCGTCCCAAGCCCAGCTGGGTGTTCTTTTCCTTCGTGAACGAATCCGATCTCGATTTCATGGAACATTCAGGAAACATTGCAGGTAATCCTCGCCTTACAACAGTCCACTTAGTGACCCTTCAAAGTTACGATGGCACTGGGGGGAAAAGGGACCTAGGACCGTTTTTCACACTTATGACCGTTGCAAATTGACTCGTATTTATGATGGTTGAAACATCTCCTGGGGGTCACGTGGTCCCCTTTTGCAACCGTCTGATGAGCCAAGTCAACGGGGAAGCAGGATTCACTTAACAACCATGTGACTCATTTAACCACTGCAGTGATCCACTTAACAACTGTGGCAAGAAAGCTTGTAAAATGGGGCAAACCTCCCCTAACACATGCCTTGCTGATCAACAGAAATGTTGGGCTCCGTTGTGGTCATAATTCGAGGATTACCTGTAGTGTCTTTGAAATGGGGAGGAAGGGAGCGTGTCTGTGAGGTGTTTAAAACAATCCTTTTGGGTGGATTTCAGAACTGAGCTTCTGTGCCTGAGAGTCTGCCTCAAATAGGCAGCTGAGCAACCTTCCAGCCATGGACGATGGGAGACGTCTCCCTCCCTCCCTCCCCTGACTCAGGCCTGGCAAAAATACTGTGTCTATTCCCTTTTCGCTTAAGAGGTGGACAAGACCTGGAATAGTTCCCAGATTTGGTGTTAATGTGGATGTGACTCATTGGATGCTTCTGCTGTATTGTGTTTCCCCCCCCTCCCCCCACTGATTATTATTCTAGTTATCTTAGTCTGAACTGCCCATTTGGGCGGATTTTAATGGTTTAATTTTTTTTTATGGGTTATGTAAACCGCTCAGCATCCTCTGGAGTGGATAACGACATTAAATGAATGAAATTAAGAAAGCCCTTTGTCATAATCCAGCACACGTCTTCTGATGCGCTTCGGGTGTTCCTGGGTTTACTCTGCACGGCCGTGGATACTTATAGCTTTGGATTAGATCTTGCTTCATTAGTAATTCATTAACTGACAGAAAGCCAGTTTGGTCTGACGGTGAAGGCCCCAGGCTAGAAAGCAGGAGGCGGTGAGTTCTAGTTCTGCCTCAGCCATGAAAATCGGCAAGGAGACTTTGGGCTAATCACTAGGAGACTAGGAGTTCTAGTCCTACCTTAAGCATGAAAGCCGGTTGGGTAACTTTGGTCCAGTCTGTCATTCTCAGCCCAACCCACCTCACAGGGTTGCTGTTGTGGAGAAAATAAGAGGAGGAAAGTGTGTTGGACATGTTCGCCTTCTTGAGTTATTTGTAAAAATAATAAAGACAGGATGCAAATTAAATAATAATTCTGTAGTTGGAAAGCAACAGTGCTTGAATTGCAGCCTACGCAACCTAATGTAGACTGTTACATTAACGGTTACTCCTGTTGGTGGGTTTTTCTAGAAATACCTGGGGGAAATACTGTCCCTCATTTGTAGGAGCTGTGGTTGGTAGTCCAATGAGGTCAGTCTGAAGGGTTCTGAGTCAGCAACCCCCCAACCCCTCCAAGAGGGAATTTTGCAAACTTGTGGCTTTATATTAGATGACTAATCTACTAGTATTACTAATACTAAATAGGCGCCAGATAACAGTTAACAGAATTCAAAAGTGGTTGGTCGTGAACCATTTGTGGTCGCGTAATGATTTTAAACTGATAACACACTTAACTCCGCTCCCAGCTCTGGCTGCTCCTCTACAGGCTTTGCTTTATAAGTGCTCAAGTAATGTGACTTGCAATACTTATTAAAATAAACTCTTCTCATCTAAGATTTCACCTTCTAAAAATACCCCAATTCTATATCGGACGCTAGTTGTAGCTGGAAGGGTTGGGGTTTTTCTTCCTTCTTTTAATCAAAATTTAATCAGATGACTCTCCATGCCTATTTTTCAACCATCTTTGTGCTGTTATCCCTGGGTGCCGAATTTTCCTTTAAATTTCACTTGCTGTTCCCAATTCACAAGGCTGACGGAAGACTTTTCCCCTTCACTTATCCCCAAAACCTTTTCTGGATATTTCTCATCATTATCTGTTCAACCTCCCCAAAAAAGTTAAAAGACTCTCTGGAGAATAAAATTTTGAGTTGGCTGCTCGACAAAACTTCCATGCAGCCGTGCTTAGCACCTAATGTCAGTGGGCAAGCTTAACATAGCGAAGCGCTACCAAGAAAAGGAGGAATGTCAGTAAGATATACACCGAGCATGTAGCCACAGGCAAAAAAATATTCAGAAGAGCAGGAGTGACAAGTTCTTAACTAGACATTTCATGCTGGACTGAGACAGCCGAGGCGAGGCGTTTAGAAGAGAATCAAAAGTGCACGATGCTGCCTGTTCTGATGGACCTTCTCGCCTCCTCTCTTTTTAATTTTATTTTCTAATGCAGCCAAATGCAGGTATCTTATATTTTGCTACCTTCTGATTTGTTTGGGAAGAAACGGCACCTCTTCTCTTTGATTTAGCACAAGGAGAGTCACGTTCTTCATGAGATCCTTAACTGCTGAATCAGATACCCTCCTGAATGTCTTCTTGGCCATTGCTGTAGACAACCTGGCCAACGCACAAGAATTGACCAAGGTGAGTAAAAGAGAGAGAGAGAGAGAGAGAGAGAGAGACAGGGAGAGAGAGAACTGTGTAATCCTTTGAGAGGGAAGTAGATTATTCCTTTGATTAAATGGCCTTGAATTCCTGACAGTTTAGGGTCCTTCAGGCTCTCTGAGCTTGGTTGTTTTCTTGAAGACCTTTCCTGACCCAACTAGGTAACATCATCAGTGCCAAAAGAGACTGGAGTTTGCTTTTTCCGTTCTAGCACTGATGATTACCAGATGGGTCAGGAAACGTCTTCAAGCAAACCACCAAGCTCAGAGAGCACCAAGGACCCCACAGTTCAACCCTGAGCAACAAATATTCTTTCAATGTTTTACAAGCATCCTCAGCTCCTGTTAGAATTTAGTGGGCTTTATCTCTGGAAACTAGGTAATATCCAGAGTTTGTTGACTTTAATGGCAGCTGAAAAAGAATGTTGTACAGCTGGGAAGGATACTGGAAATTCAATCCCACATGCTTATGGGGACCAAGAACAGTTTTCTTCTTACTATGTTTGGAAGTATGATGAGATTCAGGAAGTTCCTAACCCCTGGACATCACTCAAGGGTTTAACTACAGTTCAGAAATAAAAAATATCTATCTTGTAAAAAGAGAAATGAAGAGAAAACAAGAAAGTTATTTGAATCAAGTTGTCTCAAAGGCGCCTTTCCAAAGGGCAACTGGACTTTTTTTTTCCTTGAAGAGGTTTTGCTTCTCATCCACTGAAGCTTCTTCAGTTCTGACTGAATGATGTGGAATGGAAGGATTCAGTCAGAACTGAAGAGGATTCTTGGATGAGAAGCAAAATGTCTTCAAAGAAAAAAACAAAGTCCAGTTGCCTTTTGGAAAAGACCCCTTGGGACTACCATGACCTGGATGATTGAGAATCTCTACAGACCCGAATCAAGTCTCTCTCTCGGCACCCTTGCTCTCCCTTGCAGGATGAAGAAGAAATGGAAGAAGCTACCAACCAAAAACTAGCCTTGCAGAAGGCGAAGGAGGTTGCCGACGTCAGTCCCCTGTCAGCTGCCAACATTTCTATCACAGCGTAAGAGTTGATGGCATTTACCTATCTTAGATATATCAGCCTTTCTTCTTTGAATTGGGGTCCCCAACCTCCGGTCCGTGGGCTGGCACTGGCCCGCAACATGCCAGGAACCGGGCCACGCAAACAAGCAAAGCCCCATCCATGGGATGCAGGCAAGCACCCAAAACCACATCCTTGAGCCGTGGTGGCGCAGTGGTTAGAATGCAGTACTGCAGGCTATTTCTGCTGACTGCTGGCTGCCTGCACTTCAGCAGTTCGAATCTCACCAGGCTCAAGGCTGACTCGGCCTTCCATCCTTCCGAGGTAGGTCAAATGGGGACCCAGATTGTTGGGGGCAAGAGGCTGACTCTGTAAACCACCTAGAGGGGGCTGGGAAGCACTGGGAAGCTGTATATAAGTCTAAGGGCTGTTGCTATTGCTTTCTGGTCTGCAGAAAAACCTTCCCCACGAAACTGGTCCCTGGTGCCCCAAAGATTGGGAGCTGCTGCTTTCAATCCCCATTCCATCACCTCCAACTTTTGTCAAAGTTTTTTTGGGTCCAGCACCTTTCCTACTCGTGGCCTGCTAGGAAGGTTCTTAACTTCATTCTTCTAGCTCTGTGGCTTCCAGTTTTTCCCTGCTCTGTCCGTGTGTCACTTTGTGTTGTCATCCACCAGATAAAATGGGAGCACCCCATGAGAGAGAATCCCAAATTAAGATGGATTTTGTGAAGACCTCACAAGCTTTCATGGCTGCCACCTGAAGAGTTTTGTGGAGCACCAGAAATGTTAGATGTGTGTGTGTGTGTGTGTGTGTGTGTGCGTGAAACATTTCAGATCTGAGCATTCCACACAGAGGTAAACACCGTGAATCAGTTACAGGTAATCCTTGGCTTATGACCACAATTGAGCTCCAGATTTCTATGACTAAGTGAGACATTTGTTAAGGGAATTTTGTGACCTTTCTTGCCACCACTCTTAAGCGCATCGGTGCAGTTGGAAGCTAGGAACCCGGTTGTTAAGCAAATCTGGTTTTCCGCAGGGGCTTTGCTTATCAGAAGATCGCAAAAGATCCCTCCCAATTCTGTTACTCTGTTACCCTATAATCCCAGATCAATTAATCCGTGGAACAGAAGTTGACCCCAGAAGTCCAACGCCAGAGATTTTTAAGAAGAGGCTGGACAGCCACCTGTCTAACATGGCATAGGCTCTCCTGCATGAGGAGGGGGTTGGACTAGATGTTCTGGCCTGGTCTTCCCCTAGCAGCACGAAGCTGAGTCCTCATCCCGATAAACTGCTTTTATTTGATTTACAATGAGTTTCCTCTCCAACAAAGTCCCGGCCAACAGTCTTTCATGCTAGTTCCCACTTACAGACCTTTATCAGGCTTGGAGAGTGGCCAGGCTGACATCTCTCAGACGCCGCAATACTTGGCAAGCATGCCGGGATGAACAAATTGTCTCCTGCAAAGCCCCACTCCCCTTTCCCTCCTCTTTTATACCGTAGGGGAGGGGCCATTCACCGTCCACCTGTGCCTTTACGTCCGAGTTGACCCTTGTTCCTTAGCTGTTCCCTTCTCCTGGCAGCTCCGCACATGCGCACAATGAGAACAGGCTCCAGCTGTTCTTCTGCCTCACTGATCTCCAACTCTGAAGGCAGCTGATAGCTGTCGGATGGCCCTGGCCCCATCTCTGCCTCTGATGCAGAGCCCTCGTCCGAGCCTTCCCCAGACTCCAGGACTGGCCCAGGTTCCTCCCCAACCTCCTCACTGTCTGGGCCACAACACTAAAAGACCACCAGTACCCTTCCAACTCTCTTCTTCTGCTATTCTGATTACTGCTCAGGAGGAAGTCATGGTAACTAGGCCACCTTCTGCTCCTCACCTGACCACTGGTCATTTTGTGGGAATGCTCTGCTTTCACGTGGATTCTTTTTCCTTTGCTGTATGTTCCTTCATTTTAGTTTCCCATGTGCCGCTTTCTCCTGTCAACCTAACGCACCCTTGTCAGTCAGTGCTTCTTCCATGGCTTTCTGTCATTCAGAAAGTGGCTTTGGTCTCTCTCTCTCTCTCTCTCTCTCTGTGCCCACCTTCCTCTTGGCCAAACGCTTGCATCTTGTACTTCATGAAACATGTTCGCCTTAGACAGTCCCGTGTTACTTCACAGGGCAGGGCATTGGGTTGGGGCGATGGTGGCATCTCCAGTGGGATGAGAGTAATGCATTGCCCTGAGGTGGCTTTTGGAGAGGATCCAAAAACCTTCGTTAGTTAAAAGAAGATAGCACAGTGATAACTGGGGTTGGACATTCCCTTCCCTTCCTTCTTTCCTTCCTTCCTTCACTCCTTTGACTCCTTCCTTCCTCCCTCTTTCCCTCCTTCCTTTCCTTTCCTTTCCCTTCTCTTCCCCTCCACTCTTTCCTTCCACCCACTCTCCCTTCCCCCTTCTTCTCCACAACTCCTTCCTTCCTTCCTTCCTTCCTTCCTTCCTTCCTTCCTTCCTTCCTTCCTTCCTTCCTTCCTTCCTTCTTTCCTTCCTTCTCCAACCAACTCATCCCTTCCACTTTCTGCATTCAAAGTGTTCTCTGATAAGCTAATGTTCAATGAGAAATTAAGATGCAGAATTGACCGTTATTCCTATTTTTCACCTGTTAAAACTTAGTGCTTTTAAGGCTTGGACAATATGGGAGGGCGTGTGTGGAATTTGCTTATAGGAAAATAAAGTAAGAGGCAGCTCAAAGGAACCTCAGCTTTAGAGTTTTACTCTGAACACACCATTGCAGCTTTGACAATACTAATCCCTTCCTTTGCCTAACACGGTCCACAAAATGCACTCTGGTCCTTTGAACTAAAAAAGTGATATATTTATGACATAGATCTAGAAATATCTTCTTTCCTTCCTTCCATTTACCTCCTTCAGGAAGTGGGATTAAGTAAGTTTTTATTTTCAACTGTGTATAACACTGTGACATTCTAGCATCAGCCAAGGTCCACTCCTTGTGGAAACCAGGTAGTTCTCTGAATTATCTCTGAATTTCTTGTCTAAAAACAGAGCCCAACCCTACTCCCTTCTAACACTGATGATGTTACCTAGTTGGGTCATGAAACATCTGCAAGAGAACAACCCAGCTCAGAGAGCACCAAGGACCCCACAATTCTCTGAATTGAAAGGAGTGATATTTGGATGACACAATGTTTGCAAGGGAAAAAAGGGTGTAGAAACACCAGATTCTCCTCTGGAACTGTTGTTTTTCAGTTAACATTTAAAAAAAAAATTATTTTTTTTTGCTTTATTTCCTCTTCCCCTTTTGGTTTAACAGACGATGCCTCTGCTTATCCCGAAGTTTGCTGAAAACGGTCTCCTTCCAAAATGCATGTTCCCAGCCTGCACTTTCTCGGTCCTGGAGTTTGTTCGACGCCCCCCCCCCCCCTTCTCTCTCTCCCCCTGCCCCCCCCTCTTTTTTTCTCTTTACAGATTTCCCCCCAGGTTTTTTTTTTCCCTCTCACTTTTGTGTTCTTCTGTTTCTTGCATGTGCAGTTTTGTAAAGCAAACTCGAGGGTCTGTATCTCGCAGCTCGTCGCTCTCCAGCGTAAATTCACCGTGAGTTGCCCTCCCTATACAATATTCAATAAATGGATTGATTATGTAGCTTATATATCTATACATCGGTGAACATTTTCCCTACCCTGTTTCCCCCGGATTTAAGTCATCCCTTTCATTGTGGAAATTCATAGTGGAGAATCGATTGGGCAAACGTTTGTGAGCTACTGCTGAACATTCCCCACGTGTGACTCTGGGCTTCCCGTGTTCTTCTTCTCCTCCTCCTCTTCCTGCTCCACATCCATGTTCTTGCATGTTCTCTGTGGGCAGGAGCTGAGGTAAGAACGGGAACTCACCCTGTTGGGCTACGCTCGAGTCTCAAAACTGGATTGTCAGCTTCCAGCTGATTAGCTCAGCATCTTTAACCACTGAGCCGTTGCGGCCTCTCCCCCTCGTGGTTTTAATTATCTCCATTTCTTTTCTTTTCTTTTCTTTTCTTTTCTTTTTTTTGAGAGAGAGAGAGAGACTGCTGGAGCACGTGCTCCAAACAACTTGCTATTAAGATTTACCTTATATTTTACAGATGGGGCAAATAACTTTGCATCAAGAGATTGAAAAGAAATGTCAGGATGTATTTGATAGTACCTCCGTTAATAAGCTTCTGCCCATTCCTGCATATAGTTTTAATGATTCCAGAGTTCCACTTATAGCTCTTAATTGTCCAAACACTAAGAAGGCTTCCTCACTCCTTGGAGTTAATTTCCACTTAGTAAGCTGTTCTTTTAAAAATGTCCAGAGAAAAAAATACTGAGAATTAAGGTTGTCAGTGACATCATGGCTTTAATGCCCAGCATTTTTCCACAGATGTAACCTCAGTAACCTGATGCAGCAGAAACTGTGACCAAAGTGCTTGTGGCACTTCTAAAACTTAACATATGTTATGATCCCAGCAGTCATAGATTGACACAGTAAGTTGTGATCTATAAAAAGTGACTTTCCCTAAACTCAGTGCCTTTCAGATTTACTGGATCCCGGCACTCATATTTCCTAGCTTCGATGACTAGGAATTATGAGGGTTGAAATTCAGCCCAGGCCAAAAGGGTGAGTTAGGACAGATTGTTATTATGCCATGATAAATTGAAGGATAGTCTGAAAGTGAGGATCTGGTCCTCTGGCATTTTGGACAGATGGTTGGGCCCTTGAGCAACTTAGATAAGATATCCTGCAGGGTTTTTTTTCCTAAAACCACTTCCTGCTGTCAATGAAACAGATTTAATCTCTGCTGCAGAGACCCTCCTCCTTCGTACCCCAAATCTGCAGTAGAGTTTTGGGCAGACCAGAATAGAGGACCCAGAATGGGAAACTGAAAGACATCCCATCTGGGACAACCATGACCGCCATGCAGGGGTGGGATTCTACCAGTTTGGACCGGTTCGGGTGAACTGGATGTGAAATTTACATCTGGTTCACTGAACCTGTAGTTGAATGGACTGGCTGGCTCCGCCCACCCCTCCCCTCCCCTCCCCTCCCCTCCCAGGAGTCTCCATGAAGCCTGTTTTGGATGTAGGTAAGTGCAGGGTCCACACAGAGGCTCGGGAGGGCAAAAAACGGGCGTTCTGGAAGTCCGGAAGTGGTCCTGTTTCCGGCTTCCGGAGGGCCTCTGGACCTGGGGGGAGGTGAAAAACGGAGTAGGCCACACCCACCCTGGCCACGTCCACCCAGCAACTGGGCAGTGAAGCGGTTGCTGGGAGCTTTGAATCCCACCCCTGCCTGGATGACAGGGAAACTGCCTAGACATGACGCTGAAAGAGTTTCACCAAGATAAGAAGGCGGACCATAGAATCCTGGGGCTAGAAAGGACCAACTAAAGAAGGGAGGCCTTCATCGAGTCCACTCTGCACCAAAGACTTGAGGTCTGTCACCCCCCCTCGTTCCAACTGATCCCTCGGGGTTATTGCTGTGTGGAAGGAAGAAGAGACCCCAGGCACCAGAAGGCAAGACCAGAAGCAATGGGTGGGAAGCTATCATGGAGAGGACCAACTGAGGAGAAATTTTCGGACAGTGAGAACAATTGACCAGTGGAACCCCTTGCTTCTGGGGGCGGGGGGGGGGGAGGAGTTAAGAGGAGACTGGGCTGCCATCGGTCTAACGTGGTACAGGCCAGGCTCTATGGATTAGAAGACCTCCAAGGTCCCTTCCAACTCTGTTATCCTGTTCCCGTGTTCCCTGTAGGCCTAAGGGAATAATAACAGACGTCCCAGAAAGATCAGTCTGAATGCACCATAGGAATAGGCTCCATTTTGTGGGAAGTAGTCAAGATTTTATTCTTTCACCCATCCGTCAAACCTCCCCTTCTCATTTTCCCATTACTAAATTGCTGATCTTGAGCTGGTTACTGAAATGTTTGCATCCAAATGGCCGTTTCTTTTTGTTTGATTGTTTGTTTCCATCTCCATTTTTGTGCTTCTGTTTATAGAACTTCCTTTCCCCTGTGCGGATCTTTTATAGGGTCCCTACAAGGTTTTAACTTTGTTGTCATGTATTTGTTTCTATTGCAACGTGCTTTGAGGATTTGATTTCTGTTGAACGGCTTGCAAAAATTGATCCAATTTGTGTGGATGCTGGGGGTGTGTGTGCGTTTGTCACTCAGTTCAACAAGAGAGACACATTTGGGTCCCACCCTCCCATCGGTTATGGGGTGACCAATGGTTTTCCTTCCAGAATTTTGGGTACAAGGTAATCTAGCATATCCAAGTTCATGAACCTTGCAGGTTTCAAGAAAAAAAAATATTCTGAAGAACTGTTGCAGGAACTGGGTAGGTCTAGTTTAATGAAAAGGTGTGACATGATAACAGTCTTCCAATATCTCAGGGGTTGCCACAAAGAAGTAGGAGTCAAGCGGTTCTCCAAAGCCCCCGAAGGGAGGAGGAGAAGCAACGGGTGGAAACTGATCAAGGAGAGAAGCAACCTGGAATTAAGGAGGAATTTCCTGACTGTGAGAATCATTAATCCGTGGAACAACTTGCCTCCAAAGGTTGTGAATGCTGCAACACTGGAAGTCTTTAAAAAGAGATTGGATAACCGTTTGTCTGAAGTGGTATAGGGTTTCCTGCCTAAGCAGGGGGTTGGACTAGAAGACCTCCAAGGGGCTTCTTATTCTGTCATTCTTTTTAACAGAAAATACCCCTTCTCTCCTTCTAAGGAGACATGGATGCCAGTCTCAGGAAAATTCCTTTGCATTTATGCAAGAGAAATCATTGTTATGTCCCTGTTACTCAGAATAAAATTTAGTTAACTCATTGAAAAATTGATGAGCAGAGTCTGGCATTCATACTTTCCATCATCCCATTAATTTAATTACTTCTCCATTGCTAAGAGTAGGTTTGATAGGGTTTAATGTATCTTTTTTTTAATCATAAAGGGGTTATTTCATAACAATGATTAGAAATTCATCACGATATGCCACGAATTCCTTAGAGTAAGACTTGCTTAGATTTTTAATATGTATCTTTCTGGTATATTCTAATTTGATTGCTATTCCTTGATGTCTTTCCTTTTTTCATGTTTAAGCACAATAATAAACCCACAAAATAACTTCTCCAAGAACTTTTTCCGTAATGGGGTTATACTGAGGAGGAGGAGGAGGAGGTGGGAGTGACAGGAAAAATCTCTCCTTTCCCTGATGTTTGGAGAGAAGCATTATTCAGTTTTTCAACAGACAGAAAGTACTGGAGGATTCTAAAAATCTTTTGTAGTCCAGCTGTAGCTGAAATACCTGTTTTTGGAAAAAACAGATTCCAGCTGTTCTTTTGGGACAGAAAGTGAGATGTAATTGAGCATGAGATAGAAAGCAGAAAAGCTGACATGCTGTCATGGGAGAAAATGACACTTTCTTCAAACCTCCATTGGGAGTAGAATTTATTTTCCCTGCCAAAGCGTGTTCCCACTTTATATATTTTCCGATGATTGAAGAGTGAGTGAAGAGAGAGTAGATCCACTGGGGTTCCATTGCTGGGAGATTTAGTCCCAGGGATAAAAAGAAAAAAAATCTGCATCAAAAAGAGAGGAGTTAGAGGAAGCTTTTCTGCAGCTGGGAAATTGGTCCATGGCGTTACATTAAATCCTGGGTGCTAGGAATGTTTTGATCCTCAAAACAAGGGGATCCTTGCTAGCCTGATGGTGTTCCCTAGTTTGGGTCAGGAAACACCTATGAGAAAACCACCAAGGATCCTTCATTTCAGCCCTATGCTACAAAGAGTCTCCTTTACTCCACAGATCTGCTTGAGGAAAGTTAGTGTTCTTCTTTTGCTGTTGGAGTAATCTGTTTCAACGTATCTCGGCATTGTTATGGCCAATATCCAGGGGTGAGATTCAACCGGTTCAGACCGGTTCATGCAAACTGGTAGTTCTGGCAATCATTTGGCCCCACCCACTCACCCCTGCCAATATTCCAAAGATGATTTTTGGACTTTGTTTTTTCCTTGAAGACGTTTCGCTTCTCATCCGAGAAGCTTCTTCAGTTAGAAGAACGGAAAAAACTTCTTGGATGAGAAGTGAAACATCTTTAAAAAGACATTTCAGAAGTTGCATTTTGGAGGGGGGGGGAAAGGCCCTTTGGGACAGCCATGACGGGATGACTGAGAATCTCCGTATTTTGTCTCAACTTTGAGAGTCCCGGATGAAAAGTCATGTCGTTGGCTTTGTCCAATGCGATGGTACCTTCCCCAGCTCTAATCCCTCTTCCTCTCCTCCTGTCTCCCCTCTTCTCTTTCCCTTTCCACACTCCTCTCTGCCTCTCCCTTCTGCAGCAAACAGCAGAATTCCTCCAAATCCAAGTCCGTGTGGGAACAGAGGACCAGTCAGCTCCGCGTGTACAACTTCCGCACCAGTTGCGAAGCCTTGTACAACGAGATGGACCCGGAAGACAGGGTCCGCTACGCCACCAACCTCCATATCCGTCCTGATATGAAGACTCACATGGACCGGCCTCTGGTGGTCGAGCCAAGGAGTGAAGGCCGTAGCGGCAACGCCAACACCGTGAGCCCCACCGAGGGCCAGGAGGCCTCTGACCAGGTGAAGGCCCCACTGCCTGAGAACAACGAGGTTGTGAGGAAACACCACCGGCATCGTGAGAAGGAGAAGACGGGAGACCTGGAGAAAAGCAGTGCCGTCAAGGAAGAGAACGGCGAACTGGGCCGGGGCAACCACAAGGATGAACGCCACCGGCCGCACCGGAGTCATAGCAAAGAGACGGGCGAAGCGGGTGGGAAGGAAGGGAAGAGCGAACGCAACCGAAGCCAGGAAGGAGGCAGACATCACCACCGCCGGGGGTCCGTGGAAGAAGGCGCTGAGAGGGAGCATCGACGCCACCGTGGTCATCGGCATCCGGTGGAGCGCCAGGCCAGAGAAGGCAATGGAACGGCCAACGGGACCAAGACCGAACGACGTTCACGTCACCGAGGAGGGTCGAGGCCAGGCAACCAAGAAGGGGACCCTGGCTCCAAAGGGGAGGGGGGCGAAGAGCCCCACCGATGTCACAAGATACGGCACAAGGCCCTCTCCACGTACGAGTCGGTGGACAAGGAGAACGGAGAGAAAGAAGGAGAGTTGGGGAAAAAGGATCTCAAGAACATCCAGCCAAGGCGAGTTGGCTCCCTAAGGGCCCCCAGAGGATGGGATGCGAGAGAGGGTAGGGGGCTGGGGCTTATAACAATGGATGGGACCAGCCTTGAGAACTTGTAAAACTCCTGGTAAAGATTCTGGGTGGTGTTTTTTCCCCCAAACTAGTTCCTGAGAAATAAGAGTACTCAGTCATCAAAATTGGGGGGGGGGGGGGGGATTCTAGGGCTGTTGCCAAAAATCACCAGGTGACAATTATAATATCCTGGCCTCCTCCACGGGCTGGCATTTGAAATCCCCGGCCTGCGTTTTTGGCAAAATTTGTGGTGATGAATAATTTTCAAGCCTTTCAGGGGTTGCTGCAAAGCCAGTTTTGATCTGCATTCCTAGCTTAAGAAATTCATAACTGTAATCCTCCAGACATCCCTCCTCCCTCTTTCTTTTTCTGTCTTCTTTTTCTCT